TTTTGACCTATAAAATTAATGCACTGCTACTTTAAGTGACACATGGAAGAGGAAGTGACATCATTTAAGCTTCCGAGGGGTCGTGTTCAAAATCAAAGAAGTTTTGTTCAATATTGAATTTTTTTATTTTTTGTCATGTGGGTGGAGTTCCATGCAGGCATGATAACCCAGATGAGATGCAGAGAGGAAATTATCTAAGCAAGTGGGGGGTCAGCTGTGAAGTGACCCCCCACTGTGAAATCAAACTGTGGAGAATGAAATAAGAAGAATATTCGGTGACATTTCATTTCACGTGTTTTTTTTTTCATGCATCTGCATCTTTGTCATATGCAGCAGATCTACTGATTTGACAAAAGTAAAACACCACATGCTAAAATAATTTATTTAGAAATTTTAACTGTTTGATGAATTTTTTAAATTTTAATTTTTAAAGTAAAAAGTGAACCAATTTAGTTCCTATTTACAATTTATATTTTTGAAGACATTGTACCTACACAGATGCGTTATGTGGACTGATCATTATTAAATCCGTTTATGTACAGTCTGTTAGGGCTTGGAAGTAGAATGAGGGTTATGTCTGAAAATAATGGGAAATATAATTAAACTTTTAATGTCAGATGTGGTCAAATGTAATTTTGATTTTAAAAAAAAAACTTCAAAATAGCAAAGGTTTATAACACCCATTACATGGAATGAAGGTAACACTAATTCGTTTTACCTTTTTCAAAAACGGTTTTGCCTATTACATGTATTTAGTAGTTGCTTTTGTCCTTAAAGATTATGGCTCTTGTTCCAGGGCTCGCTGGTGACCTAGCAGTTAAATGATTAATGTATAGTGGGCTTCTAAGTAGTTTTGTGATCTGAAAGTTCCATTTGGCTCCGTCTGGATACTATTCAGTATAAAATGTGTGATGAAATTTTAAAATAAAACTGCACCGGAATTTGTGATTCATGTCTGTGTTCCACGGTTTTCAGCGTTGCCTGTGTAACGGTATTTGCACTATTACGTCAGCAGATGGCAGCACTATCAAACAAAACTACATGTGAAACGAACACTCCAAGCGGTAAAATCAGGAGATTGGAGCTCCCTGATTCACCTGGAGCAGCATCCCATTGGTCGAGAAAGGAAAGTATGAAGTTAGGAGCTGCTGGAAACTCTGAATAAGTGTGGAAATCCACAGCTCAGCTTAACACAGCCATGTTTTTGTCGATTGAAATAGTACGTTGCATACTTATGCGTAAGTGTTGTCCTTTGTAGGGAAACACACACCTATGTAAACTACATACATAGCCTCTAACTTTCTGATTAACCTATAAAATAGAGATGTACTGTGTGTATCCTCCTGAGACCCCACCCATTCATTTATGTCCATTGTAGCGGACATTTTGTTTTTGCATTTATCTTTTCACTGATGTAAGGAAATGTATTTATTCCCGTTGTACACTAAAGAGGACATGCTGTGAAATTAAAAATAAAAATAAATTTGAAAAATCTAAATTGTAAGATTCTCATTTCCTCCAAAGACAAATAACATAAAATTGAAGGACACCTTTTCCCTTGGGTCTCAGGAGGATATTGCAGTTTACATATAGGCCTATGTAGGCGATATTTCCACGTATTTGTATTCAAAATGTTTGTTTATAAAAATACAAGAACGGCCCATAAACCCGAGTCGGTGTCCACGTTTGCCTGGGTTCGGCCGGAGGGCTGACCCCACAAATCTTGTCTCTCTTCAGGACTAATTGGGGCCAGAGTTTGCTGACCGCGGCAGGTCTGGCCGAACCTGCTCCATTCGCTAAAGTAAAACTGGAGAAGCTTTGTCCTTTTGACTTTGACTGGAGAACATCGTACAAAAAATAGCCGCAGCCGAGATACCGAGCTTTAAAGCCGGCCTTGCATGGCTATAAACACCCAGCTGCGAAATTCAGAAATTCAGGTCAGCGCCGCGGTAGCCGGTCAGCGCTTTCTGTTTGCAGTGAGTCTCAACCGAGTCGCTGTACAAATGAGTCAAGTTTACATTGTGCTTATATCAGCTTTGTAATGGTGACAAGCAAGAAGCAGGAACCCAGGTGTCCCCAGATACACCACAGAAAGCACAAAATAAGCCCTGCTTTGGTCCGTCATCTTATACATTTTTATCTATACTTAGGAGACGCTTCTGTCCAAAGCGACGTACAACTGAGGACAGGTGCTCCTGGAGCAATTGGGGTTAAGGGCCTCGCTCCGAAAGGGGCCAAGGAAAAAGGTCACGGAAATATTGTCAGGGTCAGCCCCTGCTGTGGTCCTACCGTGTCCCTTCCCCGTTTGGCCATCAGGTGTCGCTGGTCATCCCGTCCTTCATGTTAGTCTTTGTTCTCCTCTGTTACCTGTCTGGTCATGTGGCTTGATGTGTTGTGCATGTGGTTGTCTGTGTACCCTTCTGTCCTGAGTACCCTTCTGTCCTGTGTTTGAATCCTGCCTCCTGTTTTTGTATGTTGCTCCTTAGTGTTTCTACTTATTGTTTCTGGTGGTTTTTGTATTTGGTTTTGTTCCTTGTGCCCCTGCTTGTCTTTACCTGTTTAATTCCCTAGTGTTGGTTTATGTTTCCTTGGTTAGTTCTTAGTTTCCCTGTTTTTAGTTCCTTTGAGTATTAGTTTCACCTGTGCCCTGTTTCCCTGGTCTTTGTTAATTAGTCTCACCTGTCCTGTGTTAGTCTCGTTACCCCTTTAGTATTTTAGTTCCTGCTTCTGTTTATTTCACCAGTGGTTTATTGTGTTCTGTCTATGAGTGTGTTGTTGCTTGTCTTGGTTAGTTTGGTTAGAGCTGCATCCTGTTTTCCTTCCTAGTTTTTGTTTTGTAATATTAAGTCTTTAATTATCCCCTTTAGTTTTTGACCCTCGTGGTCCTTTTGGTTTTGTGTTTGTAGTGTTTTCTGTTATATTTAATAAAACCCTTTTTTTTGTTCCTGGAGCTGCCAGTGGGTCGTCCGCCCCTTTTTGTGCACCATGCCTCGCTCTCGTGCCCGAGCCGCCCGCACCCATGACAAATATTTAAATCCCTTTATAAGGAAACTATTAATATTTTCAGTTTTTTGCACTAAGACAGAAAGACAGAACTATATTACGTATAGTGTGGGATTCAATAGAATTATAAAGAACATACAATGAATAGAGGAAAAGGAGAATATAGCTTAAAGCAGGGCATGATGAAAAGGGGGGGTTCATTGTAAAACATGCAGTTAACTGAAACGAGAACTGACTGGTGTCAGCAGGGCAAGGTTACCTAATCGGGACCGATAGAGGGAGCGACAGAGAACGTCAGCGGCCCTTACGTATCTGTAGCCTTCCACAAGTACTAACCGACTAACTAGAGCAAACGTCAAACATGTGGTTGTCACGTAGACAGAAGGTACCGAGAGAGGGGGGGAGATGCCCAAAGGGCTTTTATGGTTAAGGTTAGGCCTGGGTAGGGGATAAGGATTCCCTCTGATACATACTGTATGGCAGAGCTCCCTCCTGTACATGCTGAGTGTATGTCAGATGGCTGCTCTCGGATTGCAATCTGTCAGAGAATAAACCGGTGATTTGCAACTTCTCCCCGTGTCAGCTGTGAATCTCTTCTCATCCACGGACCCGGTGGAGACGGCGTACTCCAACAATTGGCCTATGATACAAAGAGGGATGAAACGCAGAAGAATATACGCGAATCGAGACCACAGTTACTGCATTATTTAAGAAATGTATTTTTGTGCACTTAGAAATCGGAGACATTGGCGACTAATGGCCTAAATCTTAAGTTGGTCATTATACTCTTTCACAGGTGCAGTGTGCGGGTCTGAGCGAAAACATCGGTATCCTTACAATTAAAGAGCATATATACGCAGATAAAACAGGTTCCACAAAATTAGCCGGAGCTTATCAAACATGTATTACATTTGCATAGGCGTACACACCATAAGAGAGGCACCACTTCATGGTCTTGGGAATGCTTCCATCATTATAACACAAAGTCCTTCTCTTTTAATTTTACCCCAGTGTTCAACACTTCCCTGTTGTAGTGAGGTATCCACCATACTTAACCCCCTAGCTGTTTACGAATTAGATATGTACCAAGCTAACACTGGGAAATCTTTGGGGGGAAACGATTAATCGATTTTCTACCAGAATAGCTAGACATTGTCATTTCGGAGGATTTTCTACAAAACTAAAAACTGCGTCTTAGCAATGGCGCCACCAGCCGATTGATAATTTATTGCCTTTTAAGTTGCTCAACTGCTCCTGAAGGTTATTAATAATTATTAATACGTTTTTTAATAGGCTACTTACACAGCTCGAGAACATTTCTGTAGTCTTGATAGGGGTTTGTCAGGTAATGTCCATCATATAGGCTATAGCAAACAACTGGACAACAACACACCTCCAATGAAAGGGTTAGCCGTATATGTATAGCTAAAATGAATTCCATCCGGTTTCGAAATGTAGACGTACTGCATTTCACTTAAATCGTACCGTGGGAAAATAAGCCTTGATTTCGACCAAACATGTGAAAAAAGTTTTATTGATATATTGGTGTTAGTTTAATTTACATAAATGTTCGTACTACTCAATAAAATGAGACAGACATGCATAAAATGAGAAGCAGGGATTCTAGGAGATCAAATTTTGTTTGACTACAATGCACCTAAAGCATATGGATTTTCTAGGCATATGCCTGTGTGCCGAAATAATGCTTTAATTATACAAATTATATTCCAATGGCTGCATAGATAGTACTGTTTTGCGATTATTAGATACTTTTAAGATTTTTCCTTAAAACCATGCACGTTTTATATGCATGTCATCGTGTCGTTGCCTGGGACCGCCATAAGTTTTCGCCGCACGAACCGCTTGCAGATTCTTCCACATCGACTGGGATGGAGCCAAAGCGGACGCCTACGGCGGATCGCGTCGTCTTAAACAAAAATGGTAAGTGACAGCGCCTATTTGCCGGGAGCGCTGGAGCTCCTCCTCCTCCGTCTCCCATCGATCCCGTCCCTTCCCTACTTAGGGACGTTTCGCAAGGCGTGCAACCTGCGAGGTGTGTAAGTGACGGCCGGAGTTAGGAGGACAGCAGCGAGGCGCCAACAAACTCGCTTTCATAGATATATTATTTTACTAGAGGGTTATATTTTCCTATCTCGGATGCTGTGAACTGCTCATCCTTGTTTCAACCCCGACCGTGAACATTGCAGGGTGGAGATCACGGAGGAGTACCGAAACCGACTGCTAAAATGAACGAGAGCGAGCAGCAGCTGCCCCTTACCGAGTACGATTTCGAGCGACACTTTGACGAGAGAGTCGCTATCCAGTGGATGCAGCAAAACTGGTGAGTGCAGCGGACTCACGGGCACCGGCGGGGAGGTCTGCGCGCGAGGCCGTCTGCGGTCACCCGCAATGTCACGGTCACCCGCGACCCATCCGCTCCACCGAGACCTTTCCGTGGGCTGACATTTCCGTTTGTAACGTTTCATATGATTTTTTCCCCGTGTGTCTCATTAATTTCCCTGGATTATCGGAGAAGGTCCTTGAGAATCGACCAGCAGCGTTAACTTAGTGTTTGGAACGGGGATGAAGGAAAGCGACGCTTATCCACATGAAAACATCTTTATAATAAATATATGCCCTTCAGTTAAAGCGTTTTTTTTATAATGTTTACACATAATTCAGCATTGGCATTTAACCATTTTGCAACACGAATCCTTCATTATAAATGTTACTATGAACCGGTCTAAATTGTAAAGTATTCCCCTAATGTAACTGTATTTTATTGCCCTCGCGAAATTTCATATAGCAGCTTTTGAAACTGAAACGGAAAGTTTACCAAAGTTGTGAAGATGTCATTCTAGACAGTGCAAAGCCATTAGGCGGGTTAAATGGCGCAAGGACTTGGTTTAATATAATCTAAAACAAACGGATGCAGCGTACCTAAACGTGCGTAGCCCGCTTCTGTGATGCTTATGTGGGGTCACCCTGGGTGAACTTTTCGTAGCTGCCTGCCTTTGTTAAGTATCTGCTCGCTGAGCTTATCTTCAGCATCTTGAAATAGCGGGTGGAGCACTGACTCATTCCACAGCCACGTTGTTTCCGGGTTACACAAGGTTTCTAATTAATTTTAAAAAAGTACAGGTCAGGTTCCGTAAAGTGTTTAACAACCGTCTCTTTTTCCGGAACTTATCAACTGCCGCTTCCTATGCTGAAGTCAATCGGTAAGGACACTTTCTGACGCCTGTCTATGTGGACGCTTGTGCTGGATTCGAACCCGCCACCGTTGGCATGGCAGTGGCGGCATTACACGTAGTATCGGCGGCGCACGTGTATGCATGTGTAGTAGCGGTGGGGGAGGGCGGTCTTGTTGCCCGTGTAACCTTATCAGTTCTCAGTGGTCTATCTGGTACCAGTAGGTTGGCTATGAAACACTCACCTGTGGGCTTCCTCTACTGCTTCCAGTGACCCACCGAGTTTGTAGTAAACAGCATTGTGTTAAGAAATGTGTTTGTGTTGGTGTATGTGTGAGGGTGGGGGGGTACTTTCAGGAACAGGGTGGGGCATGTCAGACAGCAGGATCTGATACTGGGAAAAGCAGCACTTTGTTGGGCAGCATGAAGGGGGCTGGACTGGGAACCAGCCAAATGAACAGTTTATCAGTCTTGACAAACCGG